TGACCTAATTGCAAAGTGACAGCAGGGCACAGCAGACTCTATGCCAAAGTATAGCAGGGCTCAGCAGACCTGACATCAAAGTGACAGCACAGTACAGCAGATCCGATGTCAAAGTGACAGCAGAATACAGCAGATCTGATGTCAAAGTGACAGCAGAATAAAGCAGATTCAATGTCAAAGTGACAGCAGAATACAGCAGATCCAATGTCAAAGTGACAGCAGAATACAGCAGATCCAATGTCAAAGTGACAGCAGAATACAGCAGATCCAATGTCAAAGTGACAGCTGACCTAATTGCAAAGTGACAGCAGGGCACAGCAGACTCTATGCCAAAGTACAGCAGAGCACAGCAGACCTGACGTCAAAGTGACAGTATAGTACAGCAGATCCAATGTCAATGTGAGAGCAGAGCTAAGCAGACCAGATGTCAAAGTGAGATCAAAACACAGCAGACCCAATGTCAAAGTGACAGCAGAACACAACACACCAGATGTCAAACTGAGAGCAGAGCTAAGCATGATGTCAGTGTAACAGCTGGCCGCTCTCTATTAGAAGTGCTGACAGAAAAGCACACCTGACCAGATGTCAAAGTACAACACAGCACAGCATACCCAGTGTGAAAGTGACAGTAGAGCACAGCAGACCTGATGTCAAAGTGACAGCAGAATACAGCAGATCCAATGTCAAAGTGACAGCAGAATACAGCAGATCCAATGTCAAAATGACAGAGAACCACAGCAGACCCAATGTCAAAATGACAGCAGAACACAGTAGACCCAATGTCAAAGTGACAGCAAAACACAGCAGACCAGATATCAAAGTGACAGCAGAACACAGCAGACCCAATGTCAAGGTGACAGCAGAGCACAGCAGACCCAATGTCAAAGCGACAGCAAAACACAGCAGACCAGATGTCAAAGTGACAGCAGAACACAGCAGACCAGATGTCAAAGTGACAGCAGAACACAGCAGACCCAATGTCAAGGTGACAGCAGAACACAACAGACTAGATGTCAAAGTGACAGCAGAACACAACAGACCAGACGTCAAAGTGACAGCAAAACACAGCAGACCAGATGTCAAAGTGACAGCAGAACACAACAGACCAGATGTCAAAGTGACAGCACAGCAGACCAGATGTCAAAGTGACAGCACAGCACAGCAGACCAGATGCCAAAGTGACAGCAAAGCTTCACTATTTACCACAGTTGCAGCCTTCATTCATAACCTATTATTAGGTTTACCAGCCTCAATGGTCCCAAATGCAGAGTAGAAAGGCCCAAGAAGATGTCTTTGTAAAATATAAGATGTAAAGCCCTAAGGTCCCCACCCCTCAATCCCATGTACCTCTGTACCCAGTTTTCAACAAAATAATTACATCCACATCCCTCAAGTGTAATAAAGTAGAAACTGGCCAGCAGCAGAACAGCTTTGCAGTGAGAGCAGACCCAGACACATAGAGTGCATCCAGAAAGTATTCCCAGCACTTAAATTTTGCCACATTTTGTTATGTTACAGTCTTATTCCAAAATGGATTAAATTCATTTTTTCCCCTCAACATTCTACAAACAATACCCCATAATGACAACGTGAAAGAAGTTAATTTTGAAATGTTTGCAATTTATTAAAAATAAAAAACTAAAAATAACACATGTACATAAGCATTCACAGCTTTTGCTCAATACTTTGTTGAAGCACCTTTAGCACCAATTGCAGCCTCAAATCATTGAAAGTTCTCTCATCTAAAGACATGCAAATCCTGGAATACAATCCAGGTAACACTGTACTTCTCAATGCAGTTCTCAAACAAGATAAATATGCATTACTGCCACTAGGGAAACTGCAGGCAAAAGGTTCCAATTTACTTTGCATATGGGCTCCATCTTGTACCTTCTGCAGTTGGGTGATTGGTGGAATACAATAGATGATTTCTGTCCTCCTATTAGGCCTTAGTTGACAGGTAAAAGGGTAAATTTACCTGACAAATTAGTTTATCTTTATAATCTTTAAATGATTCCTATTAATGTTCTCCACCATCATAGCATAATGTTCACCTATAGTCTGCTCAGTAATTTATTTTCTTTTCCTCCTGGCCGCTGACTACTCCAATCCCTGAAGTGGCGTGTGTTCCACCACCTGGAAGTGGCATCAGCGGACATTAAGTCATCAAACCTCCTTTTACCTATAGTCTGCTCAGTAGATGTTTTTTTTCTTTTCCTCCTCGCAGTAAAATGGTGAGACCAACATCTAGAGTTTGGAAACATTTCCACAGTACAATTTCTGCTGAGAGCAAAGCTGCAATTTGCAAATATTGTGAAAAGAAATATTCTTTTCAAAATGCTACAAAGATTACAAAACACATCCCTGCATGGCAGAGGTGGCCTAAAGACATACTTTATAATTCATGGAATTAAATGATACGGACCATGATGAAAGTGCAAGTAATTTTTCCCTCCAGAGTTCTCAGTCCAGAAATTATTTCTGCTATTAGGGCTAAGGGGTAAATCTGATTTTTTTTAATGGTTTTTTGATGTTGATGGTTTCTCCCTTTTTTGTTGCTTTTGAGCAGGGGTGGCCAACCTGCGGCTCTCCAGCTGCTGCAGGACTACAAGTTCCATCATGCCTCTGCAAGTCAGTAACTTCCCATCTTTGCAATGCCTCATGGGAAATGTAGTTCCACAACAGCTGGAGAGCCACAGGTTAGCCACCCCTGCTTTTGAGGGAAAGGGGGGTGTTTACCTGTTCTCATGAATAGTTGAAATGTTCTTAACATACACAGTCCTTGTTCCATTTGTAATAAAAAAATAAGATTTTAAAAAGCAAGTTTAGTTTATTTACTGAATAAGCTGTAATTTTATTTCAAGTATAACACTTCTATATACACTGCATTTCACGTTACCAGTGTCACAAAATGACTTTGAATTTGTAAAATTACTCCACGCTGATTTTTTTTCCATTTTTCTGAAAATTAAAATTTTTCCAGAAAAAACATGGAAAATGTTTTTTCCCCATGGCTTCAAAATCCCTGGAAATTCCAGATATTTATAGAACTCCAGCTAATTCCTGGGGAGGTGTGTCCAGTAGGAGGCTGGAGAGGTCATAAATAGTCTGAGGCCTGGGGCAGGAGGGGAGATTCTTGAGTCCAGTCCTGCCAGAGTAGACCCTCTCTAGGGGCTCTGCCCTTGGGGCAGGTATGCTGGAGGTGCCATTTAGGAGTCATTGAGGTCCCAGTTGGAGCTTAAGCCGGGGGACCTATTTGAAAAGTCTGGAGTCATTTTTGTTCTGCAGAGCTCAGTGGAGAATACCAGGAGGAAGTTGGGGGAAGAGTGTCCAGCTATCCCGTGGTATTGAGTTTGTGTCTCCCTTGCTGAAGAGTACCCAGTGGATATTGGTAGGAGGCAACCAATGATCCTGCGCCATTATGAGTAAACAACCTAAGTGCTGTGCCTTAGTGTAAGGGAATCCCGGTGAGACAATTGGCGAATAGAAGTGCGCATGAGCCAAAAATGTGCGATCGCGCACACGCACGGCACATGCATGGTGAAGATTGGCGCCAGACAGACCATTTAAAAGGTGCCTCTGCCTGTGCTGAGTGCTGACTGGTCTTCAGCTGTTCCCCGTTTCCTGCTCGTTCCTGTGTGATTTCCTTGTTGCTAACCTGGCTTGTTCCTGACCTGACTCTGATTATTCTCCTGCTTGATACTCATTCCTGACCTCGGCTCTGCTCCTGACTTTGGCTTGCTTATGATTTGGTACCTCACTGTCCGAGTGTTGATGACCCCGGCTATTCCTATGACATTGCTTCTGTCTCCCATCCCAGCTTCCTGTCTTACTCTGGTGCATGCCTGGCAATCTACCATACCAGCTCTGCATATCACTACTGCTCCTGAATCGGAGGTTCACCAGTCTTCCAAAGTCTCCAACTGTAAGAGCTGCAAACAACATCTGCTGGCGCTCTTGTCCCCCTGGTCCCTAGACACCCTCTGTTCCACTTCCAGTGAGGTTAGGGCTAGTGACTCAAGTGAGGCCGACCTCGTCATTTCAGTCTCCAGTCAGGTACATGACACTTTGTGACTGTGTGTAGCTTTCAGTTCTTTGGAAGAAGTCATAATCACCTGTCAGCAGTAGAGAGTTGTGTGGGACTCTTTATGCAGCTCAGTGTGAAAGAGAAGAGTCCTTAACCACTTGCCTACCAGGCACTTATACCCCCCTCCTTACCAGGCCAATTTTCAGCTTTCAGCGCTGCCGCACTTTGATTGACAATTGCGCGGTCATGCAACATTGTACCCATATGAAATTTTGATAATTTTTTTCTCACAAATAGAGCTTTCTTTTGGTGGTATTTAATCGCCACTGGGCGCTTTACTTTTTGCGCTATAAATTAAAAAAAGTGCAAAAAATTTGAAAAAAAAAAAAAGTTTATTTGTTTCTTTTATAAAATTTTTCAACCAGGTATTTTTTCTCCTTCACTGATTTGCGTTGATGAGGCGGCACTGATGGGCACTGATAGGTGGCACTGATGGGCACTGATAGGCAGCACTAAAGGGCACTGATAGGCAGTACTAATGAGGTGGCACGGATAGGCGGCACTGATAGACAGCACTAATTAGGGGTCACGGATAGGCGGCACTGATATGCAGCACTGATAGGCGGCACTGATAGGTGACACTGATGATGGGTACTGATAGACGGCACTGACTGGCATCACTTCTGGGCACTGACTGGCGGCACTGACTGGCACAACCCCTGGGCACTGACTGGTGGCACTGACTGGCAGCACTGCTGGGCTGCACTGGTGGGTGGCACTGGTGGGCAGCACTGGTGGGTGGGCACAGGTGGGTGGGCACAGGTGGGTGGCACTGCTGGGCACATGTAGGTGGCACTTCTGGGCACAGGTAGGTGGCACTGCAGAGTGGCACAGGTGGGTGCACTGCTGGGCACAGGTGGGGGCACTGCTGGGCACAGGTGGGGGCACTGCTGGGAACGGGTGGGCGGGACTAGTGGGCGCACTGCTGGGCGGAACTTGCGGGTGTCACTGCTGGGCACCGATCATCAGGGCACTGATCATCAGTGCCCTGATGATCGGTGCCGATCCCCGCTCTGACAACTGCCGGTTCTCGGCAGTACTTTCCTCACGATCTGACAGCGTGAGGAAAGTGCAGCCGAGAACCGGCACTTGCATTTCCCTGTGATCAGCGTGTCATTGGACACCGCTGATCACGTGGTAAAAGGCCGGTGGGATCGGCCTTTCACCACATCACGTGATCAGCTGTGTCCGTAGGACACAGCGATCACGGAGATCGCCGGGTGCGCGCCCCCTGGGGCGCGCAGGAGAGCGCGTTCTGGGAGGACGTCATATGACGTCCACTCAGAACTGGCCGGCCGCGGTGAAGCCGTCATTCGGCTATGCGCGGTCGGCAAGAGGTTAAACAATCAGTTCAGAAGTTCTGGGGTATCCCATGTTCCTTTCACCCATCCCAGTTCAACTGTACAATAAAGCAGGGGTGGGCAACTGTGGCCCTCCAGTCCCATGAGGGACTGGAGGGCCAAAGATTCCCATGAGGCATTGCAAAACTGACAGTTACAAGCATGACTCCCAAAGGCAGAGGCATGATGGGACTTGTAGTTCACCAACAGCTGGAGGGCCACAGTTGCCCACCCCTGCAATAAAGTATCAAAAACACACCCCTAGACTGTTCTATTTGAGACAATGGAAATGGAAAAAAAATTCTGTGTGTGCCCTAACCATAGGGGAAAGAATCAGTTCAGCAGCAGATCCCCCAGGGGTACACTACACTAACAAGGTAAAAGAAATAAAGAAAATCTCAAATGTTGATTTGTCACCAAAACAGGAATACAGGAGAAATCTTTCAATAACAACACTAGTTCTAGTGACAACAGGGATGCCTTGACTTACGCTGTAGCCTATGCAGTGCAGAGGACCCAGTGCTGGCTTAAACTCTGTAGTGGAAAAAAACAGGTGGAACATGTAACATGTTCCCAAAGGTGAACTTAACCTTTAAATGGTGAACTAAGATTGTACACCCTCCCCACCCCGCAGTCCCTGCTGCACTAACCTCCATGAATGGTTAGCTGTCACTGCCCACGTAGCCAATGCAGGGGTCCAGGGATTTGAAAACTGTGGTCTTCTTTCCTAAGGGATGCTAGGTCAAATCAGAAAGAATCCAATTTGTCAAGAGGCCACGTGCCAGTGCTGACCAATCAGTATTGCTGTGATCCATCCTGGTGTCCCTAAGGAAAGAAAGGGAAGAAGACTACAGCTCTCAAATCCCCAGACCATGTGGGGACAGTGACAGCTCATCACCCACAGAGGTATGTACAGCAGGGACTGGGAGTGGGGAGGGTGTTAGTTCACCTTCTTTTTTTTTCCAAAAAGGTGAATTTACACTTTAAAATGAATAGCATATTGACACACCACAGTTATAGTACCTGGTGGTAATATGAGCTCCAATACCTCAATACAATAGTGTTAATTGCCGCCTTGGGGCTTTCAAGAAAATTTGTTGAGGGAGAATCATGTGGTAGTAGTAGTTACAAAAGGTGAGCATAGGGTTAGGATTGGATTTCCATTACTAGAGCCTGTAGACACACTTTTGGGACACTTAGAAACACCTAGAAGGCACATTTGAAGGATGACTAGACACCAAAAGGAATCTGGGAGCTTGAATGAAAGTACTTGTAGAATATATCTTCCTCTATGCAGACATATTAACCACATGCTGCCCAGCCACTGTAGAAATACGTTGGCAGGGCAGCACGGCTGGGCAAAACCACGTTTTAAAATGTGTGTTTTCAAAACAGGTAGGGGGTGCGCGCGAGGCGTGCCACCGCCCTACCTGTCCCGTCGATCACGGCCGCGATCGTTACCGGCTGTGTCCCGGCGATTAGCAGCAATCACTGACAGAGAGCAGGGCTGCAGTAGCTCTGCTCTCTGTCAGTTCCCTGACAGCTCCTGACAGGCTGATCGGGTGCTAATTCATATAAACATTTCCAAAGAATGCCATGCAATTTTAAAACAGGGTACATATGGTGAAGCAAGGTTTCATCTCCATGTTCTGATCAAGTTCTATGTCCACAGTGTCTAGGTCTAGGTCATCTTTCATTCTTGTTTTTAAACTTTAGCTGTTATTTCTTTAAAACTAAAGGTGGCAAAGAGGAAAATCAACAAGAATATCTTAAAAACAGTCTTTTAAAAAACTCTGATAAAGAACAGCATAATTTGCCAACATTATCATAAGCGAAAGGCAACAGAGGAAGAGGTTTGTGTTACAAGCACTCATGGACACTAGTATGGCAGCGAGATAAAGTAGGACTAGACCCTCACAAAAGGATACTTCATTTTCTAAGTAAAACAGGATTCCAATATTTTTTGTTAAAATACATCCGTTCCGTTTTCTCTCCCTGTGGTGCACACTTCCTGTAAACTTTTTGAATGGACATCCTGTGGATATGTGCACACCCCAGAAGCAGTTTAATAATCCCAGTTTAAAGACTTGTTCGCACTGAGACATACGGTACATTAGAATGTGCGTATCATGACCCACTTTACAACACACATTACTGTAATGCACAGTTATGCACTGATGTGCGTTGCAGTGCAAAGGTTATTGTCCCCCAGTAGTGTTGAGCTTGATGTACGAGTTGAATGTACAGTGCTCAGCATAAATGAGTACACCCCTTTTGAAAAGTAGGATTTTAATCAATATCTCAATGAACACTTGAACAATTTCCAAAATTTTGACAAAACTGAGCTTTATGGAACAATTGTTTAGCTCATTACATGAAAGTAAGGTTAATGATATAACTTAGATTACAAAATCTTCAGTTTTACTCAAATTAGTTGATGCATAAAATGAATACATCCCACAACAAAAACTACTACATCTAGTGTTTTGTATGACCTCCATGATTTGTAAAGACAGCACCAAGTCTTCTAGTCATGGAATGAACAAGTTGGCGACATATTGCAACATCTATCTTTTTTCCATTCTTCAAGAACGACCTCTTTTAGAGCCTGGATACTGGATGGAGAGTGATGCTCAACTTGTCTCTTCAGAATTCCCGATAGGTGTTCAATTGGGTTCAGATCAGGAGACATACTTGGCTACTGAATAACTTTCACCCTGTCCTTCTTCAAAAATGCAACACTGGCCTTAGATGTGTGTTTTGGATCATTGTCATGTTGGAAAAGTGCACGATGACCAAAGGCATGGAGTGATGGTACCATCTTCTCTTTCAATTTAGAGCAGTACATCTGTGAATTAATGATATCAAAAATGAAATCCCCCCAGCAGCACTCATGTAGCCCCACAGAAGGACACTGTCACTATCTTGTTTCACTGTAGGTGCAATGCATTTTCCTTTGTACTCCTCACCTTTGCAATGCCATGCAATTTTGAAGCTATCTTGGTCTCATCACTCCAGAGTACAGAGTCCCAGTAGTCTTCTTGTTTTTCAGCATGGGTCCTGGCAAATTCTAGGCTGGCTTTTTTGTGCATGGGTTTTAGGAGAGGCTTCCTACTGTCAGGGCAGGAGCTGAGGAACGGACAGGCAGGCCTAACAATGTAACGCACTGGCTGACGACAACCACCACCCACAGACCGAAGTCCCTCAGGGCGCGGAGTCTAAGTCCCAGGCTGCCCTTCACCAGGGCCCCTGATGGTGGGGATGGACTTGACGCAGCCAGGAACCAGGTCGCGGCCCCCGAGACACCTCAGCTGCGGTAATGGCCGCCGCCAATGGCGTGTAGCTGGTGGAAGAGACAAAAGAGTAGTCAGACAAGCCGGGGTCAACAACAACAGGACAAAACAGTACAGGACAGCAGACGAGAATCACAGGTCACGAGCCGGGTTCAGCAACAGAGGGTCAGATCAAAGGAGAATACAAAGAATAGTCAAGTCACAAGCCGAATAGATACCAGGAGAGTCACGAGAGTCAGAACAGAGTAATAGCAACACAAAGACACAAGTGCAAAGAGCATGTGCGGGCCACAGGCTTATATGTCATCAGCCACACCCCTCTGGGGGATGGACCACAGAAACCTGAAGGCATAAAAGGATTCCCATCATGCACAGCAGAATCCAAGATGGACGCCAGCACATGGAGTAACATAACCTCAGGGAAAAGGTAGGACCTTGACACCTACATGGACGACACCTATACATGCCACTCCTCTGCAGTGTACGCCGTATTGTGTCACGGGAAACAATCACCCTAGTTTGGCTTTCTACTTCTTTAGTTAACTGCAGTGAACTTGCATGGCAATTTCCTTCAACCCTTCTCATCAGAAGATACTCCTGTTGAGATGTTAACTTCCGTGAATGGCCTGGACGTCTCTGTGAGATGGCTGCACTTCCATCTTTGTCAACTGTCTTCTGGATACCTGTTTAATGAATAATTAGACTCACCTGTAGTTGTATTCTTGTTAATTGGGATTTTGTTGTCTAAAATTTAGCTTTACTCTTAAGAATTCCATCGGGGTGTATTAATTTTTGCAGCATTGTCTTGAATAATTTTGCTTGGAAAAATACTTTTTTGTGTGTGCAAATTAACAAATCTTGTTTGCAATCAATGGCCCACATTTGTGGGAGTATTTTGTAGTATAGTGTCCCATAGAAAATGTTGATTCTGAAAGGAAAGTAAAGGTTTTATGACAAATCTGTTGGGTTGTACTCATTTATGCTGAGCACTGTAAGTTCAACGCGAACATCAGCCATTCGTGTGTTTAACGAACACACGAATGGTAAGGGTGTTTGGTGGGCTGTTCACTCGCTGCAACCCACAATGCACTGCGCTCTGACAGTGCATTGTGATTGGCCAAAGCAATGCACCTGACCACAGGTCAGGTGCAATGCTTTGGCCTATCACAGTGCCCGGTAACGTCACAAGTGGGTGGGGTGATCCTGTGCCCTTTGTAACATCACCACAGTTTTTAAGAATGTCAGATGGTGGGAGCCAGCATCGAGAGCAGAGTGTTTTGGGGTTTTTTTCAGGTTGGCGGGCATCGTGATTGACTTTAGGGGACTTTTTTTTTTATTTTCGTTTTTAAGACCGTCTTCTGTCATTTTTTACACTACATTCTTTTTTTGTTAAAGAGTAGTGGTACCATGTACCCCATACTCATTAATATGGGGGGGTGGGATCTGGAACCCCATTGTTAAAGGGGGCTTCCAGATTCCGGTAAGCCTCCCACCCGCAGACCCCCACAACCACTGGCCATGGTTGTGGGGAAGAGACCCTTGTCCCCATCAACATGGGGAGAAGGTGCTTTGGAGGGGAACCCTCTGCTCCAAAGCACCCCCCATGGCCTGGTATGGTTCAGGAGGGGGGGGCACTCACTCATAACCCCTTTTCTGGACCTGCATGCTCAGATCGGGGTCTGCCAGTCCTAGTCCGTAGGGTTCAATATTGAGTTGGCCCACCCTTTGCAGCTATAACAGCTTCAACTCTTCTGGGAAGGCTGCCCACAAGGTTTAGAAGTGTGTCTATGGGAATGTTTGACCATTCTTCCAGAAGCGCATTTGTGAGGTCAGGCACTGATGTTGGACAGGAAGTCCTGGCTCGCAGTCTCTGCTCTAATTCATCCCAAAGGTGTTCTGTCAGGTTGAGGTCAGGACTCTGCAGGCCAGTCAAGTTCCTCCACCCCAAACTCGCTCATCCATGTCTTTATGGACCTTGCTTTGTGCACTGGTACGCAGTCATGTTGGAACAGGAAGGGGCCATCCCCAAACCTCTCCCACAAAGTTGGGAGCATGAAATTGTCCAAAATGTCTTGGAATGCTGACGCCTTAAGAATTCCCTTTACTGGAACTAAGGGGGCAAACCCAACCCCTGAAAAACAACCCCACACCATAATCCCAGCTCCACCAAACTTTACACTTGGCTCAATACAGTCAGGTAAGTAACGTTCTCCTGACTACTGCAAAACCCAGACACATCCATCAGATTCCCAGACAGAGAAGTGTGATTAGTCACCCCAGAGAATATGTCTCCACTGCTCTAAAGTTCAGTGGTGGCTTGCACTGCATTCAATGCTTTGCATTGCACTTGGTGATGTAAGGTTTGGATGCAGCTGCTTGGCCATGGAAACCCATTCCATGAAGCTTTCTATGCACTGTTGTTGTGCTAATCTGAAGACCACTCGAAGTTTGGAGGTCTTTAGCTATTCACTCTGCAGACAGTTGGTGACTTCTGCGCAATGTGCGCTTCAGAATGTACTGACCCCGCTCTGTCATTTTATGTGGCCTACCACTTTGTGGCTGAGTCGCTATTGTTCCCAGTTGCTTCCACTTTGTTATAATACCACTAACAACTGATCGTGAAATATTTAGTAGTAAGGAAATTTCACGGATGGACTTATTGCACAGGTGGCAACCTATCATGGTACCACGCTTGAACTCACTGAGCTCCTGAGAGCAACCCATTCTTTCACAAATGTTTGTAGAAGCAGTCTGCATGCCTAGGTGCTTGATTTTATACACCTGTGGCCGTGGAAGTGATTGTAACACCTGAATCCAATGATTTGGAGGGGTGTCCCAATACTTTTGTCAATATAGTGTATGATATAGTACATTGCAATGCACAGATACACACTTACAGTGGGGATCGAACGTTTGGGCACCCCAGCAAAAAATTTGTATTAACGTGCATAAAGAAGCCAAGGAAAGATGGAAAAATCTCCAAAAGGCATCAAATTACAGATTAGACATTCTTATAATATGTCAACAAAAGTTAGATTTTATTTCCATCATTTACACTTTCAAAATAACAGAAAACAAAAAAATGGTGTCTGCAAAAGTTTGTTCACCCTGCAGAATTTATAGCATGCACTGCCTCCTTTGCAAAGCTGAGACCTGCCAGTGTCATGGATTGTTCTCAATCATCATCTGGGAAGACCAGGTGATGTCAAGCTCAAAGGTTTTAAATGCCCAGACTCATCTGACCTTGCCCCAACAACCAGCACCATGGGTTCTTCTAAGCAGTTGTCTAGAAAACTGAAACTGAAAATAGTTGACGCTCACAAAGCTGGAGAAGGCTATAAGAAGATAGCAAAGCGTTTTCAGATGTCAATATCCTCTGTTCGGAATGTAATTAAGAAATGGCAGTCATCAGGAACAGTGGAAGTTAAAGCAAGATCTGGAAGACCAAGAAAAATATCCGACAGAACAGCTCGCAGGATTGTGAGAAAAACAATTCAAAACCCACGTTTGACTGCACGATCCCTCCAGAAAGATCTGGCAGACACTGGAGTTGTGGTACACTATTCCACTATAAAGAGATACTTGTACAAATATGGTCTTCATGGAAGAGTCATCAGAAGAAAACCTCTTCTACATCCTCACCACAAAAATCATTGTTTGAACTTTGCAAATGAACATATAGACAAGCCTGATGCATTTTGGAAACAAGTTCTGTGGACCGATGAGGTTAAAATTGAACTTTTTGGCCGGAATGAGCAAAGGTACGTTTGGAGAAGAAGGGGCACAGAATTTAATGAAAAGAACCTCTGTCCAACTGTTAAGCATGGGGTTGGATCAATCATGCTTTGGGGTTGTGTTGCAGCCAGTGGCACAGGGAACATCTCACGAGTAGAAGGAAAAATGGATTCAATAAAATTTCAACAAATTTTGGATGGTAACTTGATGCCATCTGTGAAAAAGCTGAAGTTAAAGAGAGGATGGCTTCTACAAATGGATAATGATTCTAAACACACCTCGACATCCACGGGGGATTACATCAAGAGGCGTAAACTGAAGGTTTTGCCATGGCCTTCACAATCTCCTGACCTCAACATAATTGAAAATCTATGGATAGACCTTAAAAGAGCAGTGCGTAACAGACAGCCCAGAAATCTCAAAGAACTGGAAGACTTTTGTAAGGAAGAATGGGCAAAGATACCTCAAACAAGAATTGAAAGACTCTTGGCTGGCTACAAAAAGCGTTTACAAGCTGTGATACTTGCCAAAGAGGGCAGTACAAGATATTAACTCTGCAGGGTGCCCAAACTTTTGCAGACGCCATTTTATTGTTTTCTGTTATTTTGAAAGTGCAAATGATGGAAATAAAATCTAACTTTTGTTGACATATTATAAGAATGTCTAATCTGTAATTTGATGCCTTTTGGAGATTTTTTCATCTTTCCTTGGCTTCTTTATGCACATTAACCTCTTGCCGACCGCGCATAGCCGAATGACGGCTTCACCGCGGCCGGCCAGTTCTGGGTGGACGTCATATGACGTCCTCCCAGAACGCACTCTCCTGCGCGCCCCAGGGGGCGCGCACCCGGCGATCTCCGTGATCGCTGTGTCCTACGGACACAGCTGATCACGTGATGTGGTAAAAGGCCAATCACAGCGGCCTTTTACCACGTGATCAGCGGTGTCCAATGACACGCTGATCACAGGGAAATGCAAGTGCCGGTTCTCGGCTGCACTTTCCTCACGCTGTCAGATCGTGAGGAAAGTACTGCCGAGAACCGGCAGTTGTCAGAGCGGGGATCGGCACCGATCATCAGGGCACTGATGATCAGTGCCCTGATGATCGGTGCCCAGCAGTGACACCCGCAAGTTCTGCCCAGCAGTGCGCCCACTAGCTCCGCCCACCCGTGCCCAGCAGTGCACCCACCTGTGCCCAGCAGTGCCCCCACCTGTGCCCAGCAGTGCACCCACCTGTGCCACTCTGCAGTGCCACCTACCTGTGCCCAGAAGTGCCACCTACATGTGCCCAGCAGTGCCACCCACCTGTGCCCACCCACCTGTGCCCACCAGTGCCGCCCACCAGTGCCACCCACCTGTGCCCACCCACCAGTGCTGCCCACCAGTGCCACCCACCAGTGCAGCCCAGCAGTGCTGCCAGTCAGTGCCACCAGTCAGTGCCCAGGGGTTGTGCCAGTCAGTGCCGCCAGTCACTGCCCAGCAGTGATGCCAGTCAGTGCCGTCTATCAGTACCCATAATCAGTGTCACCTATCAGTGCCGCCTATCAGTGCTGCATATCAGTGCCGCCTATCCGTGACCCCTAATTAGTGCTGTCTATCAGTGCCGCCTATCCGTGCCACCTCATTAGTACTGCCTATCAGTGCCCTTTAGTGCTGCCTATCAGTGCCCATCAGTGCCGCCTATCAGTGCCCATCAGTGCTGCCTCATCAACGCACATCAGTGAAGGAGAAAAAATACCTGTTTAAAAAATTTTATAAAAGAAACAAATAAACTTTTTTTTTTTTTTTTTCAAATTTTTTGCATTTTTTTTATTTATAGCGCAAAAAGTAAAGCGCCCAGTGGCGATTAAATACCACCAAAAGAAAGCTCTATTTGTGAGAAAAAAATGATCAAAATTTCATATGGGTACAATGTTGCATGACCGCGCAATTGTCAATCAAATTGCGGCAGTGCTGAAAGCTGAAAATTGGCCTGGTAAGGAAGGGGGTATAAGTGCCTGGTAGGCAAGTGGTTAATACAAATTTTTAGCTGGGGTGCCCAAACTTTCGATCCCAACTGTATGTGTCAAGCTTAAAAAAGTGGTGCAGGACTGATTTTTTAGATTGTTTGTTAAAGCTTAGTGCACACTAGTCTTTCTTTCCTGGTGCATAGAGCTTCAGTGTTTACGTGTGGGTGGAAGTTATATGCGCACCTCCAACCCCACCGCTGGCAGCCTATCAAACTCTATAAGAGGCTGACCTCTGCTGTGGCTGGACAGTGCACTGAACAGCACTTAAGTTTAGTGCAGTATTCTCCCAGGGATGAATGGCCAGAACCCAAGCTGTTTTTAACTTATATTGTTAGAATCAATCTACTTTTCTTGCAGGCTAGCTGGTAAGTGTACTGGGAAATTTTCTGTTGTGATGTATGTTGCCCTTCCATGTGTACCTTAATGCCAAGGCAAAAGATCATAGTATATGAAGCAGCCTTGCTGGGGCACTGCAAATTTCACATATTTGCAAATGTGTATAACTAAATTCTGTTTTTTTTTTGTTTTTCTGTTATTAAATCTTTATTAAATTTTTATCAATCAAATCCCTTTCAAACCAACATCATACAATACAAAAATCTATACTTATTTACATCCCATAATCCTGTATTTATATTTCAATATTTTTATTGAGAAACCAGCATATTATAACAGAGAACAAGATGGCAAACACAAAGAAAAAGAGGGGAGTCCATCCGCATGGTGGGACAAGATGTAGAATCAGAATCATAACACTTATCAGTATATAAATAAAAAAAAAAAGAAATTATCAGACAATAGCATTACAATTCGCCCAAAAAGTGTCATAGCCATCAGGACATACTAGTTTCATAAATCAATAAACAATAATTAAACCAAAATGAACCAGAAGTGACAGAGAGAAAAAAAAACCAAAAAAATTTTCAACGAATAGAGTAGGAAAAAAAAAGAAAGAGAAAAACGAAAAGTGAAAGAAAAAAAAAAAAGAGGGGGGGGGTCAGCTGCCAAACACTCACGATACAGTGCATAATCCTGTATTTAACTCACCCTCTAACCCACCCTCCCCCTTCCCCGCCCACCCTCCTCCTCTTGTCAACTTAATCCTTCCGTTTACTTCTTAATCCTCTTTTATTATTTTATCTTACATTTCCCCTCCTTATCTTTTCCCTCTCTCTTTTCTGTTTTTCCTAGCAGCTTATTTATTTTCTTTATTCCCTTACACTCCAACCACTTCTGAAAATCTTTTTGATTTCTTGAAAATGTACCATCCTTTCCAGTCCTTCTTGAATTTTTCCATTCTATCCTCCATCCACATGGTACAATTCTTCCATTCTACATATATATTCAATTCTTTCCATCCAATCCTAAATTTTATTTCTGTTGTTTGCCAATATTTAAGAATAAGGTTTTTGGCTGCATTTAAAAGATGGAACAATATCATATTTTTATATTGCTTCTCTAAATTATTAAATTGGCAAACCCACGGGTCCATCAGTACACTGATCCTCTGGATTTCTTGTATATATTGCACTATCTCCCTCAAAAACTCCTGTATTTTGGGACAGTCCCACCAGATATATGCCATTGTGCCTTTACTCCCACATCCCCTCCAGCACTGGGATGAGACCTCTAGCCTTAATTTATGCATCTCATTAGGAGTAATATACCATCTAACCAGACATTTATCATTAATTTCCCCTATATTCATATTCACCACTCCATGTGTTAAACTAAACATTCTACTCTTTTGTTGCTCATTCAATTTTGTTCCAAGCTCCGTTTCCCACTTTTCCAAAAAAAACTTTAGGATACCGATCCCTCTCTTCTATAAATCCTAGAGGTAGTGTGTTTTTGTGTTCTATTTGTACTCAACAGTTGTTCTAAAGGATACATTTCTTCCTCGGTCCTTAGTGGTTGTGGAAGCTTTGCAACAAAATGTCTTATTTGACCATACCACCACTCATCTAGTGTAGAAAATATTTCCTTCTTATTCCTCAAATCAAATTAAGAACATACAACCCCTTTATCCACAATATCTTTTAAACGTGCATTTCTATCAATAATCCATTTCCCTGAAATATTATCATTCCCGGGTGGAAAAAAGTTAAATTCATCCCAAATCTTAAATACATTCTGTGTCAAAGTGCTTGTATCCTCATCCCACATACAAAATTCCTGTGGTATCCAACTATACTTATCTAATGGTGCCTTACTGAGTGAACTCTCCATTTTAACCCAGCTTCTCCCCTCTGCATTATATATCTATTCCACAATTCGTGATAATAACACCGAATTATATTATCTCTTGAAATCTGGCATAGTTAATCCCCCTTTTTTTGTTACTGCATAAAACTTCGTATTTCACTCTTGGTTTTCTGTTAACCCACACGTATCTGAGTATCATTTTTTTACGTAACCTAAAAAAAGACCCCGGAAGAGGTATTGGAGCATATTAAATTAATACAAAACTTTTGGTACTATTATCATCTTAATTATATTTATCTGACCTATCCAGGACTACTTTCCCATAGAAGCTTTCCTCAATTCATCCTTTATCTCATTTATTAACGGGATATAATTTGCCTGATATAAATTTTTTATAGACAATGTAAATTTTATTCCCAAATACTTTAGTTTTTTTTCTCTACATTTCAAGGGGAATTCTTTTTGTAAAGTTTGTTTCTCAGCCTTTGGGACGTTTATATTTAACATCTTACATTTTGAGGGGTTGATTTTAAGGTTAGATAGCTCTCCATATTCTTTCAGTTTTTTCATTAAATTTGGTAATGTTAATCTGGGGTTTGCTATATAAAACAGCATATCGTCTGCGTATGCTGCCACTTTATGTTCGATATCCCCCATCCGTACTCCCTTGAAATCTACACTATTTCTAACAGTTGCTAATAATGGTTCCAAGTAGATCACAAATAGCAATGGGGATAGGGGACATCCCTGTCTGGTTCCATTATACATCCTAAAAAATTTGGATAGTGAGCCGTTTACTTTTACTGCAGCTGAGGGATTTCTATGTAGCTCTTTTATCCACTGCATCATTTTAGGCCCAATTCCTAATGTTCTCAATGTGTCAATCATAAAACCCCAATCTACTCTATCATAGGCCTTTTCCGTGTCAACCAACAGAATGATTCCCGGAACTTCTCCTCTTTCATTTTTTTGCAGAATAAATAATGTTCTTAAACCATTGTCTTTTCCCTCTCTACCCGGGATGAATCCCACTTGATCTAAGTGTATCCAGTTGGACATCAGCTCTTTCAGTTGTCGCTAATGCCTTTGCATATAATTTTGTATCGGTATTCAACAAAGATATAGGTCTGTAGCTGGTACACTGAGACCAATCTTTCCCGTCCTTGGGTATAACTGTAATATATGCCTGTAGCGACTCCTCCCTTTTCCTTGTCTCCTCTCCCAGAGCATTCATATAAATACACAATTTAGGGGCTAATTGTTCTTTAAACTTCTTATAGTATCCCACTGTGAATCCATCTGGTTCTGGGCTCTTCCCTATAGCTGTGCCCTTTAATGCTAAATTGACTTCTTCAATTGATATTGGGCTATCTAAAGCTGTTAATCTGGCTTTATCCAATCTAGGCATACTGGCCTCATTCAAATAAATTAACCTCTTCTTCCTTCTCGCTTCTTCTGATTCCTTCTGAGGCTTACCTTCTGACCCATATAGTCTACTATAAAATATCTGAAATGTGTTGGCGATGTTGGAGTTGAATATATCATCTCTCCTTTTTCATCTTTCTATCTATAAAGTTCTTTGATTTCTTTTCCTTCAGCTTCTTCAATAAGTATTTGCCTGGTTTATTCCCCCAGCGATATCTTTCCTTCGAAGCCCGATTAAAAATTTTCCTTGTTTCTTGTTCCATAAGGTCCTTTAACTCCACCCTTTTTAATAGTATCTCTTGTTGTAACTCTATATTTATCTTCTTTTTATGTAATTGTTCTAACTGATATAGTTCTTCTGTGAATATCCTAATTCTTTTTCCCCGCTCTTTCTTTATCTTCGCCCCTATTGCTATCAGTATACCCCTAATATAAGCCTTATGTGCTTCCCATTCCGTGGCGATAGAAACTTCTCAGATACGTTTATCTTAAATTATTGTTCTATTTCCTGTTTTACTCTTATTTCCGCCTCGGGGTTTTGTAAGA